GGGTATGTGCTATGGTGAGCGCTGTGAATTGTGCAAGACTGTTGAATCACAGATCTGTACCTCTGAAACAAATAATGCAATATATGTTAAGAAGAAAAAAAAAGAAGATAGCAGGAGGGGAAGAATGAAGGGGGGGAAATCGGAGGGGGAGACGAACCATGATAGATGATGGACTCTGAAAAACAAACTGAGGGTTCTAGAGGGGAGGGGAGGATGGGTTAGCCTGGTGATGGGTATTAAAGAGGGCTCGTTCTGCATGGAGCACTGGGTGTTATGCACAAACGATGAATCACGGAACGCTACATCAAAAACTAATGATGTAATGTATGGTGATTAACATAACAATAAAAAAATAAAAAAAAATTTTGGGGTGCCTGGTTGGCTCAGTTGATTATGTGTCTGACTCTTGGTTTCAGCTCAGGTCAGGATCTCAGGGTCATGAGATTGAGCCCCGTGTTGAGCTCCGTTCTCAGTGCAGGCTGTGCTTGAGATTCTTTGCCCCTTCTTCTCCCTCCTCCTGTACCCTCCCCATGTTCACGTGTGGTCTCTCTCTCTCTCAAATAAATAAATAAATAAAATCTTAAAAAAAATTTGTTTTGACCATTTTTTTGACCAGCAAGCCTTCTGTTTGGCTAACAGCAATTACATTAGGGCATAAAGTCTGTATGCATGAAATGTACCGTGTGTGCCACCAATTACCCAAATATATGGACATTATCACCTAATGGTGACAGGTTACTGACTTATTACAGGTGACTTACTTATATTTAATTTTGGCTTGAAAAGCCAGGGCAAGATTATCTAGGCCTACTTTGTCCAGGTTGGGAGTTAGCATATGGCATTTAAATGAGCTTAGGTTTTAGTAAGACCTAGATTTTCAAATCTCATTACTACCACTTCTTAGCATCATGTCTCTGGGCAAGTGATCCAGCCTCTTGGAATTTTCTCATCTCTGATATGGGAGTAATTGTTCTTTTCTTGTACATTGGTATTAGCTAAGTCACACAGCAAGTGTCTACTCAGTGCTTGGCATTTTGCTGAATAAATACTGGTTTTCTTACCTTTCCACAATCTTCTGAAGCATGTAGTTGAATTAACTCTCCTATTCTGGGACAGTCATTTTCTACTAAAGAGCATCTTTTAGCTGGGAGATCAGTGCAGACAATTCCATTTCATTTAAAAGTTGATGATTTAATAATTTATTTAGAAATAAGCTGTGGCTTCTATAATAAAATTCATCTGGCATATGTACAAAGCACCACTATTACTTTCCTCTGGCAAAAAAACTGATGGAATATAAACGTTTTACCAATGTGCACAGCACAGTTTACCTTCATGCAATGCTTGCACCTTGAAGAAATATCATGTGGTGCCCTGCAGTGGATGTGGCTCAACATAAAATTTGTCACTTCCCAAGCACTTGAAATATTGCCCCATTTCTTATACGCCTGCACTGCACATGCTTATTTGGTAATGTCAGTCTGTTTCCTTATTTCAGTAGCTAAAGTGACATAGCCCTGTTCTATAATTTGCCAAGTGATTGAAGGTGCCAGGCAGGTCTGTATTATCCCAGTAATGTCACTGATTCCTAGTGCTTAAAAAGAGAGGAGGGTGAACACTTAGCATGAGGGTGATATGTTCTGTAGGAACGTATGTTCTTGGCAAGTTGTTTATGATTTTTTTCTTCTGTATAGCCAAAGGAGCAGAGGAACATATTTCAAATTCCCATTGGCAAGAGCTCCCGGTTCTTTTATAAGGATTTGTAAAATTCCATCCCTTTGAATCTTGTCAGCAGTCTCTGGATATCCTGCAGGCTTTCGTTCATAAAGCTTTCAACGCACAGAGCTGAGGGGCCTGGGCAGGGAGCACGCATGTAAGAGTGTGTGCTTGTGTGTATTTTTCAGAGGCTTCTGGATTGAAATGCCAATATTATGTTGCTTTCTGGTTTGAATTTACTACAGCAATAAAATGGAAGCATCCCTCTGCATAGTGAAGTATAGCAGATGAGTCTTACCACTTAATTTAGTTGAGTCAGCTTAATGTAGATCAGTGTTCAGGTCTTCCTTTTGGTTCCTTTCCTAATTCTCTTCTTCAGAGCTTCTCATCAGCTGTTGAGTTTAGAGGAAAAACATTTCCCTGGAGCTGTGATAGTTTCCATAGGGAGAGAGCAAGGGATCCTGTTCAGTCTTCAGGGATGATGGGTGTGGTAGAATTTGCCATATTTCCTTATTTGAAAGTGTGCACATTTTTAAAAAAGATTTTATTTATTTATTTGACAGAGAGATAGAGCACAAGCAGGGGGAGCTCCAGGCAGAGGGAGAGGGAGAAGCAGGCTCCCTGGTGAGCAAGGAGCCCAATGCGGGGCTCCATCCCAGGACCCTGAGATCATGACCTGAGCCGAAGGCAGATGCTTAACCGACTAAGCCACCCAGGTGCCCCAAGTGTGCACATTTTCTATTTGTAACTTCTTTTGGAAAGTATAAGTCACCAAATATTGGTGAGACAGTTTTCACTTCTTCCCAAATCATCAGAGGATGGATATTGGAGGTTGTCTAACCACACAAGTTGGTTTGTGGTTTGCAGGTTCAAAAAAACACTTCATAATTGCTCTTAGAATTCAGCATGGCCTGGAGCTTTCGAGGTTTGGGAGCAAAGGACGGAAAAGCAGTAGTCCTCTGACTAAGAGGAAAGACCTCAGTGATTTCTTTTATTCTTTGGGGGTTCATTCAGATTCCAGTTTCTTTGGTCCTAAACCAGGATTCTGGGCAAAAAATAAATTGGGTGATAAGCACAGTCAAATAGGTTTGGTTTCCCCATGAGCCCTGTGATGGTTAATTTTATGTTTCAACTTGATTGGGCTAAGGGATACCCATGTAGCTGGTAAAACATTTTTTTCAGGTGTGTCTATGAGGTTAGCATTTGAATTGGTAGACAGATTAATGAAAATTGCCCTCAATTTGGGTGGGTGTGGGTGGGCATCACCCAAACCACTGAAGGCCTAAATAAAACAAAAAGGCAGAGGAAGGGTGAATTTGCTCTTTCTGCTTGAGCTGAAATGTTAATCTTCTCCTTCCTTCAGATACTGGTGCTCTTGGGTTTTTGGACTCAGACTGCCATTGTTCACCTGATTCTCAGACCTTTGGACTTGGACTGAATTACATTTCCCACTCTCCTGGTCACGGGACATGTTGGCCTATATAATCAAGTAAGCCAATTCCTAAAATAAATCTCTTCTTACATCTCTTTCTCTCTCTATATATATCTTATTGGTTCTGTTTCTCTGAAGAACCCTGATTAGCACAAGCCCCATGTGTAGAAAGGGACAGACCTTTTACTTCAGATTTTGCACATGTTCAATTCATTGATCATTCTCTTGAGGTAGGTTTGCTACCTCATATAGCACTTTTGAGATTGATTGACTCACTTATGAAATTATTCTGTGAATACTAAGAGCCAAATACAAAGCCAGGTTGTGAATACAAAGATAATTCAACCAAGGATCACAATATATCTCTCTGACTTGACTGCAAGTTCCTTGCCAGCAAAGGGTTTATAGTCTAGTAGGGAAAATAAACGATGAACATCAGAAAACCGTAATGTAAGATAGAAAGTGATACGTCATTAAAGCATATAAAGAGAGGTAGAGATTAATTGTTCCAAATTAGGGAAAGATGACATTTGGTGGAGCGATGTGATGAGACTTTAAGAAGGCATTTGAAATGGACTTCAAATTTACAGGAAAAGAAGGCAAACATTCCAGGTGGTCAAAGGCACAGACTTGGAAAGGCACAGGACATAGAATACAGACATTTCTTGTGGGGTGGGCAGGGGAGATGAGAGGGGAAAGGGACAGTTTCATAGCCTAGGGCCCGTTTTGGATTTGGGATTCATGGAGTTCTTGGAGTACTTCTGGGGTTCCAAGGAACACGGTTAAGGTTAGGTGGTACTTGGGGTGTGGGGGTTGGAGTAGAGAGTCTGGGACTGTGCGATGTTTTCTGATACCAGTTCTCCAATACTCTGACACCAATTGGATGTCCAACTCAATTCAATTTGGATACTATCTACCTGGAATTAGTGTCAAATCCCACAAATTAAAGGACCCAGTTCCACAAGACTGCCCCTACCTCAGATGCCAGCTGCAAGTGGGGTACCCAGGTGACCCACACTTCTGCCCAGCCAACTACATATTTGAGGATTCCCATGACCAACCCCCCCACCAAGTTTGATAATTCACCAGATAACTCACAGAACTCAGGAAAGTGCTTTACTTTTCCAGTTTATTATAAAGGGTGCAACTCAAGAAGAGCCAAATGATGGAGATGAATCTGGCAAAGTATGGGACAAGGGCTGCAGAGCTTCCATGCCCTCTCCAAATGCACCAGCCTCCTAGTACACTGGTGTGTTTACCAACCCGGAAGCTCCCTGACCTCTCATTTAGGAATTTTTAAGGAAGAAGTTCCATTACATAGGCACGATTGATTAAATCATTGGCCATGGATGATTGAACTTAATCTTCAGCCCTTCTCTCCTCCCTGGAGGTTGGTGGTGGGGGTGGGGGTGGGGTAGAAGTTCTAACCCTCTTGTCATGTGGTTGGCTTTTCTGGTGACCAGCTCCCAGTATGAGTCACCTCACGAGCACACAAAAGACAGTAAATTCCATGGATTTTAGGAGCTCTGTGCCAGGAATCAGGGACAAAGACCAAATATTTATTTACTTTTTATTATACCACAGAGGCAGAAACCATTTGCTTCACAGTCTTGTCGAGGGGACAGTGCCTACAGCAAGCCTGGGGGGAGGTCAGCGTGGAGCTCAACTCTGAGGTAACAACAGGTAACACAGCTTGGATCAAGGCTGAGTGTGCTGGGGCTTTTCTGAAACAGGATGAGGGCTTGTGCCAAGGTTGGGTGAAGCCGGGCAGGGTTGATGAGACCTTGTTAAAGACTAGTTTACAGTGTGTGATACTGTTGGCTCTGCCTAGAGATTTCTGGCTCTAACTTAGGGCAACTTGGGGAGAACACGGCTTTACCTTACATTTCTATTTTGTTCTTTTTTAACAGATAATTCCCATCGTTGGAGTAATGCCCTCATGGAAAAAGGAAACTGGTTCCAGGTTAGTGTCAGTTCTGGGATAATCATCCAGGCTAGTAGTTCCTTTCTCTGCCTGGCTGAGGAGAATCCATCTTGTTAGTAGTCAAAGAGTACATATACATATAGAAGTGGGGAACATGTCGACGAGCTGGCTTGAATCCTTTAAAATATTCACACTTCTCTGTGACTGGCAGAAGGATCTTCGCAGGCAAGAACTTAGCTGAATGGTCCTAACAGGGAAGTAAAGAGGGTGCCTCAGGACTCCACAAAAACTGAAGGTTTTTGTCCATGTGACATCCTTGAGTGCTCCGAGGAATCAATCTTAGAATCTGTCTTAGTCTGTTCGGGCCGCTATAACAGAATAACACAGACTGGCTGGCTTATAAACCACAGAAATTTACCTCTCACAGTTCTGGAGGGGGGTAGTTCAAGATCAGGGTGCCAGCCTGGTTGGGTTCTGATGGAGGCCCTCTTCTGGGCTGCGGACGGGCAACTTCTCATTTTGTTCTCACATGGCAGCAGGTGGACAAGCTGCTCTCTGGGACTTCTTTATTAGAGGCACGAATTCCATTCATGAGGGCTCTGTTCTCAAGACCTAGTCACCACCCAAAGGCCCCCCCCTCCTACAACCATCATATTGGGCATTAGGATTTCAACATAGGAATTTTGGGGGCCATATCCACTTAAACCATAGCAGAATCTATTTTGCAAAGACACCCTAATGCCTTGAAAGATGCAGAGCAGGACTAGGAGCATGCTCCAGGAGTAGCATAGCAGGAATGCTAAAAAGGGAGAAGGAAGCTAACATTTCCAGAGCACTCACCATATGCTGGGACCCATGCTGGCTGCTTTACCTACATGGTCTCTTAATTCTCCCAACAGCTCTGTGAGGTTGATTTAACCCACTTCTATTTACAGATAAGGAAGCTGAGGTTCAGAGAAGTTAAGTAAGTTGTCTAAGGTCATTTGACTTGTCTAAGGTCAATGTGGTAGTCCATCTGACCACAAGCCATGCACTTTCCAATATATAGCAAAATAGTTGTGGGTCCAGAGACTGATTTTAGAGTTAGAAGTAATCTTGGAGTAAATAGACAACTACTACTAAATAGATTTAGAATGATTTTTAGTGGTTACCCACTCCCATACCTCTGCCAGGTGGCCTTCTGCTTTGGTTTTACTTCCAGTCAAGGGTACCCAGCTACTGCTAAGGCAGGGCCCAAAAGGGCAGCAAGTTGAGGACCGATTCCAAACTTCACCTGCAAGAATAGAAAGATGAGAATGGGAGAAAGTATGAAAAGAAGATTAATGAAAAGCAAAGGGCTCATCTGGTGAGAAATTTAGAATATCGTATCTCTGCAATAATTAGTTAATGTGGCTCAGGAATAGACTCATAGATGAGTAGAAGGGAATATATTTTTGTGGAAGCAAACTCTAAAAGTTAACACACAATAAAGGAAATATTGCAAGTCACTGAGAAAGATTGGTCTATGTATTTGATAGTTTGTGGAAATGTAAATAGGTACATAGAAGAAAATTAATGCAAGTCATGACCTTATATCATGCCCAGATAAATTCCAGGTGCATGAGTGAATTGTGTTTAAAAAGTGAAAATACTATAAAAAAATTAAGATTAATATTTATCTGATCTCTGAGTGGGAAATGGTATTTTAAGCATAAAATCTGTAGGAGAAATCACAAAAGAAAAGATGGATAGACTTGACTACAGATAAATTAGAATTTTGTGTTTATAAAAAAATATAAACAAAAACTTAAAATAATTGATAATTTGGGGAACATTTGCAAGTAATATGACTAAGGGTGAATATCTTTAATATGTAACGTGTTCACACAAATCAATAAGAAAAAATGTTAATGCCCTAAATTTAAAATGGGCGAAGTGTATGAAGAGATAAATTACCTCAAGAGAAATTATAAGTGACTAGTTAACATATATTTGAAAAGTTCACCTTAGCTAGTAATCAAAGCGATAGAAATGAAAACTTTTACTTAATCACTGAGAATTATTGGAAGTAAGATTTAAACTTGGTGTGGGAAAATGTGTGCTCACATATTGTGGGTAGAGAGCAATCTGTCAATCCTTTGCTGTAGGCCTATCTCTGACATTTGGGAGCCTGGGCCGAAAGTATAAATGCAAGCTCATATGCCATTTATCTAGATATTTAAAATATGTAATTGTATTCAAAGGATATACATCTGAAAACATCCCCATTACACATGTAAATTAAACTAAAGAAATGGAAAATTAGAGTTATGTATTATATATATTTTTAAAAAGTAGTTTTTCTTCTAAAATATTCAGAATTATTTTAAAATTAAAAGGCGGGCACCTGGGTGGGTCAGTCAGTTAAGCGTCTGACTTTGGCTCAGGTCATGATCTCAGGGTCCTGGGATCGAGCCCAGTGTTGGGCTTCCCGCTCAGCGGGGAGTCTGTTTGGCCCTCTGCCCCTCTCCCCACTCATGCTCTCTCTCTCTCTCTCAAATAAATAAATAAAATCTTAAAAAAATAAAATTGAAAGACAAAAGGAAAGTTATAATTAATGACTATCAGAATTTTATTTTTAAAAAATATTTATTTATTTGAGAGAGAGATCGAGAGCTTGAGCAAGTGTGAGCAGGGAGAGGGGCAGAGGGAGAGGAAGAGCAGTCTCTCCACTCAGCACGGAGCCAATGTGGGGCTCGATCTCATGACCCTGAGATCATGATCTGAGCTGAAACCAAGAGCCGGGCTCAGCCAACTGAGCCACCCAGGTGCCCTTGACTATCAGACTTTCGGATAAGACTTACTTAGATAAATTTTAGTTTAATTTTAAATATTTAACTAAATATTAGTAAATGTTTTTATGAAAATAAAGCTACTCAAAATTGTTCAATGTCAATGTCCATGAAGTTGCTTAAGTAAAGAATTGTTATCATCCATCGTGCATGTTATACCTTACCCATGTGGTCTCAAATTTAAGAGCCGTATAAATTGGTTAATATTGCAAAGTGCTCCTCCTCAAGGTGCAGACAGCACCAACTTATGAGTATGTCAGGAGCTGTACATTTAGCAGAAAGGAAGTTGGAAAATAGGCACACGGTACCACTAGCAAATGGTACTTTCTTTTCTAAGAAGCTATTGCATTGATGTTGACAGGAAGGGCTTGTCAGGTTAACTTATCTCTCTCTTACCTATGTGCTTTCTACCCCTGCAGAGAAGTGTCCATCTCTGACGGCATAACTCATAGATCTTACAGGTATTCAGATGCAGTTCCTTTATGTTTTAAGGATGTCTGGAAAGAGAGGTGAAGCTGTGTGTCCCTGGGGCCTGGATACTGATTGATTCTGGCACCCACATGTTCTTTAACAAATGTAGAGTGTGCATGTGTGTGTGGTGCATGCGTGTGTGTGTGTGTTTGACGTCGGTGGCCTTCTGATGTGTGTCCTAAGGCAGGATTCCTTGTTATCTGGGCTCAGAGGCAGTTAGTACAATATACATCAAAAGCCTTAGAACTATGAAGACGCTGCCATTACATCTTCGTTAGGCTAGGTTAGGGTTGGACAAAGGAATTATGTAGGCTTTAACACGTGATTCCATTAAAAAAAAAAAAAACTACCCTAAATAAATAATGAATGAATACTAGAGACTGTGAACAAAAATTTACATACCAAGGTGCTTATTAGACATTATTTTTTTATACTTATTTATTTATTTAGTACAACATTATTTAAAATATTCAAGTAAAGGGGAATAGCTAGATAACATTGTGATATCTGTATAGTTGAATACAATGCCAGGACTTTTTTAAACATGTGGGAAATACTTATGGCTATAACGTTAAGTGACAAAGTGAATTGTATAAAATATGATCCCAGTTAAGAGAACCATATGCATAAAAGCAAAGACAGGGAGGAAATGCATCGACATTTTATAGTGCTTATGTTTGAGGTGTGAGAACATGGTTAATTTATCTTCTTAAAAATATTTGTATAATTTTCCCGGTTTAGTATTACAAGCACATTATTTTCAAAATGAAAGAAGATGATTTCAAAGAGAGAGCTTTAATGTTAACATATTGCTTCATAAGTGCTGCATGGGAGCCTTAGAGACAATGCCTAATTCATAGTAGAGGGTGAGAAGTGGAGTGTTGGTTCTTGCTAAAAAGGGGGACTTGGGATTATTATAAGGCTCTCTGGGTATCTCTATGATCAAGTAAGTTTGTCACATTTTTGGAAAGCATTGGTTTCAACTAGGGCACAGTACATAGGTGTTTCTGTTAGACTATATTCTGGAAATTCCTTTAGGTCTCCTGAAAAGAAAACCAAAAAAATGAAAAAATCCTCAGTTTGATAGAATCAGGGGATGGGGATGCATGCAGATGGTAGAAAAGAACTTTTTATCTTGGCTTGAAAAATTGTAAGGGCCAAACATAGTTTTAAGTTCAGTGTCTGACTAAACCTCATAATCAGCTTTATTGATAGCCCTTTGCCTATAACCACTGGATAAGTATTAAGTTACAAGATGCACACTGAACCTGAGACCACAAAACTCCTTTCTCCAACCCTAACTTAGCCTGACAAAGCTGTAATGGCAATGTCTTCATGGTCCGTAGATTGGTTATATTGTTTCCTTCCAGGGCAAGCCTCTGACATGGAGAGGCAGCTTAACCTAGTTGTTGAGAACCTAGGATCCAAGATATGTTACAATGAAATGAGGAAGTAAGAGCAATATTTATGTTCTGAACAATCGTTGAAAAACACACAAACAGCTGCATCTTTTGTATATTGTATTAGACAGCTTAGGTTAAGATATGCTGCAGTAACAAACAATCCACAAATCTCAGTGGTGTTCCATAGTAAAGCAAGTGGCTTACCTGCATCACATGCTGGCTGGGGGTTGACTGTAGCTCTGCTTTACATCTTCACTCTGGGATCCAGGTTGAAGGAGTAGTCCCTGTCAGGGACATCACTATTCTCATGGCAAAGGAAAAAGAAGATGGCGGAAGACATGATGGCTCTTAAAGCTTCTGTTTGGAAGTAGAACATACCTTTGGCCAAAAAACACACATGACCAAGCCTGAGGGCTACGGGGTAGGAAATGCAATCCTTCCTGTGGCCCATAGGGAAGGGCCACAAATATTTTGGATAATAATTCAAATATGTGTATAATTGTGTGTATGTGCGTGCGTGTGTAAACAGCAAGGATTAGAGCAGTTACTTTTATCTTATGTAAGGTAAATAAGTAACACATATAGTATGATAGGTTGCGATACATGATTAGGAGACAAATAAAGGAGGTAAAGGGGGAGAAGTTTTGTTTTATTTTGCCTTTGAACAATTTTAAATAGCCCAGGCCAATGAGACATCTTAGTGAAGAGTTAAGAAGGTGAAGAAGTGAGCCATGGAGATATTTGGGGAAAGAACATTTCCAGCAGAGAAAGCAACAAAGGTAGTGACCCTGAGGCAGGCATGCGCTGGGCCTGTTGGAGAACTGATGAGCCATTCCTAGCTCGGTGGCACTTCACTGCCGCTGATCTCCCTTTACTGTCCCTGCATCTTTGTAAATAAATATTCAATGTACTCTTCTCAATTACTCCTTGTGAGGGTGCCATCTGTTTCCTGTAGGGACCTGATGGATATGAGTAAATCCATCCTGTTCGGGAAGGTTGTACAGTTTATAAAAAGAAATGCTGGAGGAGTTCAGAGCAGGAGAAAATCATTGTAGGATGAAGTATGTGAATCTTCACTTCGTCCTTGAAGGAAATACAGTAGAACCAAGTTATTTCTAGGACGCTGCTTCAAAATTAATGGTAACCCTTCGAGCCGTGGCCTCAGCCAGAAATCTCTCTGGGTGTTATCTCAGATTCTTCTTTCTTCCTCACCCCAACAGCTAATTGATCACTAAATCCCATCTGATTTTCTAAATCTCTCTTGCATCATGCTTTGCAGGTCCTTGTTATCCACCCCTGGGTGTCTATGGTAGCCTCCCTGGCTGTGGTCTTACCCTTTCTCCAAAGTGACCTTTATAAAATACAAGTTGACTATCTTACTGCTCCTTTGAAAACCACTCGCTGGCTCTCCCTGGTCTACAGGAGAGTGTCCATAGTCCTTGGCCAGCATTTCCAGCCTCATCACCCACCATCCCTCCTTTTGCATGTTATGTTCAAGCCATACTTAGTAACATCAGGTTCTTATGTGGTCATGCTTCCAGATCTTCCCATATGCTTCACCAGGTGCCAGCAATGCCACTCCCCTGTTAACCAACTCTTGCCTGTCCTTCAGAGCTCAGCTCAAGTGTCACCTGGTCAGGAAATCACTTTCTTCTTCTACTTTTTAAAAAACATTTTATTTATTTATTTGTTGGAGAGAGAGGCAGAGAGAGCACAAGTAGGCAGAGCAGCAGGCAGAGGGAGAGGGAGATGCAGGCTCCCCACTGAGCAGGGAGCCTGATGTGGGGCTCGATCCCAGGACCCTGGGATCATGACCTGAGCCAAAGACAGACGCTTAACTGACTGAGCCACCCAGGCGTCCCAAGAAGTCATTCTTTCAACAAGTATTTGTTGAGCCAGTCCATGAAGGCACTGAGCTAGGCATTTTGTGTATAAAACATACAAGATCCTTGTTTTCATAGAGATTTTTGTCTAAAAAATCTTACTTTGTTTTTGAAGTAATTGAACAAGGCAGCCATTGGACGGAAAGCTGCCTGTCTTGTCAGCCTACGCAAGCGAACTGAAACCCAAGCCAGAGTCAAGTCATGTAAATGCCTCAAGGTCAAGAAATTGAAACTTAAGAACAATAAATCACAAACAACCAACTAGGCTTTCCTAAATCAGGCAATTCAAATTATAGCCAATCAAGTAATTTTTTTGCTATGTTTTTGTGTCTTCTCTATAAAAGTCTTTCCCTTATCTTCTGTCAATGGAGCACCTCTACTCACCTTCGGTTTGGCACTGCCTGAGTCAAATCAATAGTTGTTCAGATAAACTGTTCAAAAATTTAATGTGCCTCTGTTTATCTTTTAGCATACTAATTGCTAGCAGCATTTGTTTGGAAAGACAAACACTAAACGGGGAAGTGTACAGATAAATATATAGCAAAAATTGTGCGAGTTGCCTTGAGGGAAAAACCAGAGAACAACGACAGTGACTGGGGTGGGAATGGGACATGGGGGCGGGATGGGGATCTGCTGTAAGTAGAAGGTTGAGGAGGTGACAGTTAAGCCGATACCTGAAAAATGACAATGAGCTAGCCAGGTACACCAGGTGATGCTGCAGGGAGAGTTGATGCTCATTGGAAAGGATTCAGGGCAGCATTTCAGACAGGAGGAACAAAAGGGGAATGAGTATGTAGGAAGGCTCTGTGAAGGAAGGAAGAACCAGGTGCATTCTCGGAATTGAAAGCAGGTTAGTAATGGAGCTTGAGTTTGGTGGGCCATGGACAGTGAAGGAGGTGGTGGGGGTGCAGAGGAGGGCAGGGCCAGACCTTGCATGACCGTGTGCCCACACGGGAAGTGCGGATTTTGTTTGAATGCATACAAGTCCCTGACGTTTTCTAAGCAGTGGAATGACCTGATTTCGTTCATGTTTTAAAAGCTCACTCTGACTACAATCTGGAGAATGGCTTGAAGGGAGGTCAAGAGGGAAAAGAGTGATGCCTCCCTCGCTGAATTTGGGGTCCCTCCTCTATATTCATAGAGTACCTGGTGCTTCTTTGAGCATAGCATTATATTGATCACAATCACAATTTTCTTTTCACTTGTCCTTTGCCTTCACCAGCTCGAGAGCTCCTTCTGGGTAGGGATTATTTCTTTTATCTCCATGCTGTATGGTAAGTGTTCAATGAACATCTTTCTTTCTTTCTTTCTTTCTTTCTTTCTTTCTTTCTTTCTTTCTTTCTTTCTTTCTTTCTTTGAGAGAGAGAATGAGATAGAGAGAGCATGAGAGGGGGGAGGATCAGAAGGAGAAGCAGACTCCCTGCTGAGCAGGGAGCCCGATGCGGGGCTCGATCCTGGGACTCCAGGATCATG